TATTATCAAAAAAAAATTTATTTAAATATATTAAAATTTAAAAAAAGTAGATCATAACCATATTTATGATAATTTTCCAGGCAAATTTGCCTGAAAAAGCCTACAGTTTAAGGGATAGTATTTTTGAAAGATATTTAAACCTTACCTTTTCCCCAAGGCAAAGAGACATTAATATATACTCCACACCTATTTTTTTGATATTTATATTGTCTTTTGGTTATATTTAACCTTTTTTTAATTATTTTCTTATTATAAAACCTTATTTTATTGCAATAAACTGTAATTCTATAACATGTTTATAGTAGGTTTATTATATTTTTATTAAATTTTTATAGTGAAATTATTGTTTTTCTATTGATATTTTTGATTTATACTTGAGTAAAACTAGCTATTTTTGATTATTTTTTTTAGTTATTTTATTGTATTTTTGTTTAATTTTAGGTTTTATTTTATTTTTCTTGTTTAAACATATTCTTTAACCACTATATGTTAAGTCAAGTAATATATTTGTTTGACTTAACTGGCGATAATATATTTATTATTAAAATATTTAGAATCAGATTAGGCTAAGCATCTATATTACAATATAAATCCTATTTATAAAACTATATTTAAGTTTTGACTAACTTTATTAATATATTTTTTTATTTAAGCAGATTATACTAGTAATAGTTTTGTTATAGTTATTGGTGAATTTATTATTCTAGTTATTGGTGAATCTATTATTCTAAAGCAAGTTTTGACAATAAAACAAAAGCTCTAATATTCTGTAGTTGCTTTAATTTAACTAAAGTTAACTGAGTGCTCACAGATGATTAGCCACACAATCGAGTATAATTAATTAAGATAATATCTAATTGGAAACATATCTGACTACTGCTCTACAATAGATATTACCAATCTGATGCTATTTTCTTATAAAAAAGTAAAAAAAAAAAAAAAAAACTATAATAGATTCTTAGGTTTATAACAGGTTTTTAGGTTCTTAAATTTATAGTAGGTTTTTAAGTTCTAGGTTCATAATAGGTTCTTAGGTTTATTATAGATTTACAGGTTCATAATAGGTTATTAAATTCATGATAGGTTTTTAGAAAACAATAAAAAAAGGTATATTTATAGAGATTATATATTTATTTGAACCTAAATTTAAAAATGCTTTAGAGAGAGTGCGCACTTATAGAGGCGTATTTATAGAGGCTTCACTATATTAGTTGGACCCAAGCGAAGACATATATTTCGAAGGGCTTTTACAGGTTGTTGCTATAGGGGGTTGCATTTAAAGGTTTAACTGTATTATAAAACTTATATCTGATTCAGGTTCTAGAGCCAGGTTTCGAAACCAGGTTCTTGTACCAGGTTTCAGAACCAGGTTCTGGAACCAGATTTTGGAACCAGGTTCCGGAACTTTTTAAAACCCAAGTCTTAGGTTTACAAAATGGAACCTAAAGGTTTGAAACCAAAACCGAACCTAAATCAACCTAACCATCCCTATTAAACTTCTACCAAATTCTGCAATTACTAATACTAATCACTTTAATGCTACTTCTAATATTGTTTATCCTGAAGTCTTTCAAAAGAGTGGTAATACCTTTTTCTGTATTTATCTAATCTGTATATTTTACAAATTTGTATTTTTAACTTAATTTATTAAATAAATTAACCGAATTTAATCATATTATTAAAATGAACCATTATTATCTATATTATGCCACAATTCTTACAAAAAAAAAATAAACCTATTTTGCTCCCACCGATTTCTTATTTCGCTATTTTTTAAATTTAATCATTTACTAACAATTTTACAAAACTGCATCTTAACCATTTTTTAAACTGTCAATTCTCCAATTCCCGTAGTATCTTTAGTGTTCCTAATTATATACCACGATACATCTTAGAACGCCATATTTATCACCTGAACTTTATACAATTTAATTTTTAAAACACAAAAAACAACTAAATTAAAAATTTTTCAAACTAAATTATCTATAATAAATTAAAAAAATTTATTCAAAAACACTAAATAAGTAAAAAAAATAACATTAATCGCTTTAATATTATCCGTGTATGTGTACACATAGTGTGCAAATAAAAATTCTCAGAATCAAATATATATTTAAATTATGCTTACACGATCAAATGTAACATAAAATTATTGCTTACTTTAAAAAATCGATTATAACTCAAAAATTTCGCTTCTAAACCCACCTTTCGGGTATTAATAACAAAAGATCTTTGCAAAATTTTTTATAAATTATTCCCACTATAATCCCTTACCAAACAGCAGAGACCGTTAATGTTACACGTATATTAAAACTGGTGAATCCAACATAAATAATTTAATTTGTGATTGATCACAGGTGAGAGGGATTCACTAAGGATCGGGCACTGTCTCTGCTGTTACCCTTACCCTAACTTTAAACGACGCTCAATTTTTTTTATACGACTTTGCACATTACACCGATTTGCAAATTACTGTGTACAAAACGCTGTATAAATTAAGAAATTCTTTAATTCTATTATTTGAACTTTTTTTAAATCTATACTACGTATTAAAAACATTTTATTACCAAATACCACTTTACTTAAGCAATTTATTTAAAGCTCATTACATCACAAATTACCGTTTAAAATCGGAAGTGAAGCGACGGGTTACATACTAGTTTATCCTCTGAAAAATCGTAATTGCCGTAAACTGCCGTATACAAGACCCCAGATATCAGATCCCCATGTAAAATCTACAGTAACCAAATATATCGTAAATGAAAAATATGTATACCGATACTTTTTAATTTTTTCTTTTACTGTAATAGTACAAACTCTCCACCGTGTACTAGACCCGGGTTTAAGTAATAGTTATATCCTGGCAGTTGGAAATGAAATTTCCGCTTATACACATAGTGCCCATGGTATATATCCTGCGATCTTGATATAGTGACCAGAGTATACAGGTTTTCCCTTCTGAGCATCCATATTTATGTAGACTTCTGATTTAGAGATAATTATTATTCTGGTTTAAACGTCATGTAACACCTCTCGGTTGTATTGATCATCTCAGAATAAAGTTAATGCTGGGAACATTACTAATAGGAACGTTTACATGAAATTTCATGTGAACATTTTTTATTAAACATAAAAAGAAATTTAATAGACGGGTTTTCTTGCATAATCGTTACCGGGTCTACCAGTCTTTTGACCTGATTTGATAAAAGCCACATGTGAAAGAAGACTTTTGCAATAATAAATGATGGGGATGCTGGGGATGAGAATCGATAAATTTTCATGTTCGAGATTTCCATTTTCTATTTTTTTGTGATAACAAATCCACTAAACCCAAACAAACAAATGTACGTTTAAAACGTCATCCGACTTCAGAGTACCAACCAACTTCAGCATGTTACATACATCTAATCATTGATAACTATGATAACAGATAAAAAATGCGGATTAAACTTATTTTGGTAAGTGAACTTAATATGAGATCTATAAGATAAACAAATAGATTATCAACAATTGCTACTAGACCAAGAAAATACAAGTAGCTCTTCAAGATCCATTGTTTTAAAAGATGCAGTTGTTTGCATGTTTACCAACTAAAATTTTAATTCCGACCGCGTGCGTGGTTTAAAGGTCCTAAACATAGAGATGCGATTCGTTATCTGATTTTGGCCTAAATTAAGCTTAATTCAGGCCGAAACCAGGTAACGAATCGCATCTCTACCTAAACAGAACTTATATTCATACACCCTGAATGATATTCAATCTCCCTCGATGAAAAAATTTTTTGATAATTCTTGTGTTCATTCCGCCAAATTTTGGGTCATTAGTATTTTGTTCAAGTGACTATCACAAATCCGGTAAGATTCGGATCAAAATTTGTTAATCTAGCCCAAATTAAGGGGCTAATTGAATTTATAATTCATTCATAAATAATTTATATTAATTTGGCATCTTTGATTAGCGTTAGTCGGTTTGAATTAGAAATTAGAAATTAAAAAAATGAAAAAAAATTAAGACCATAATATAATATAACCATTAAAAGATAGGGCGTAAAACATATCCTAAAAGCTAAATTCTACCACATAGTATTATTCTGCATTTATGCAAAATTTTAATATTTAAAGCTTTTTTATTTAAAGATGGTTTTTTTTTGGCTTATGTCAGATTTCCGCCTAGATATTTTAGGGAAAGAAAAAAAATTTAAATTTGTGAAGGTGATCATCATTGTACGTGAATGACTAATCCGGTAATTATCCGGTAATTTCCGATCAAAAAGAAGAAATCTTTTTTTTCTATAAAATCGATAGGGCGCAGGATGTGTTCCTAAAATCCAAAATGTCCTTTAATAATTCTTCAGCTAGTGCTAATCCTTATTACCGCTACGCGGTACTATTCTTTGTCATTATTTTCGCTTTCATGCAAAACTTTGGCACTCAATATTTTAAAGCTTTCGTTGTCCTTTACATATTAGCATTTTTATTAGCAAGCGATCAATTTAAAGCACCATTAAAATTTATATATTCCTGCTTTTTAAAACCAATTGGAAATAATGCTGATCAGAGAAGTCGCTTAGATTCGTTTTATGAGGATCAAGCAGAAGGTTTGCATGTGTAAAGAGTTACTTCTTATACTTTGACAAATCCCAAAAACAGTTATTAAATCAAAAAAAGAAATAATAATTTTGTTTTCACCGTGTCGGAACCTCCAAAAAGAATTGTGATATTGCTAGGATTATGCAGCCTTCGTAGCTTACGTATGAATTACGCATTGACTATATATTAGTGATAATATGAGCTGGCGTTATACAATCTGACCCAAATTATAAAAACTATATTAAAAAATCCTCCGTAGGCTGCGTAAATCGTGTAGTGCCCGTCCCTAAATGTTACGTAATTGAAGCTCGTGTATGACTAGTTTTCTAATCAATTCGTTCGTGAGAAGTAATACTATGTTACGCGCATTTACGTTCTCGAAATGATTAAAACACTGATCTTATACGTGATTAAATTACGTACCGGATTTTCGCGTAATAACGCCCATGAGCGTTTTATAACAAAAATTCGAAATTACACCTGCGCGTAATTACGCGAAAATACGGTAATATCACTATTCTTTCAGGGCTACAATCCAGTGAAACTTAAATGAGGAATGGACTAGGAAAATACCGTTTAAAAGTAAACGCCAAACCGTAGTTTTCCTAACCCATTCTCCAAGTATTCATATTTTATTTATAAGGATGTAAAATTTATGGGCTATAAATCTATCTGTTTGAAGTTAACTTAGAACATATTCGAAGGATTCGTCCAAATCCATAGCTCATAAAATATATTCTTATATTTGAAAAAAAAACAATGAATCCCATTTTTTGAGCATGTATATATTTGTGTTGTATATATTTTGTTTTAACATTCTTGATGCAAATATTACCATTAGTTTATGATGCTACACGTGGCCGTCTTTTACGCGGAAGACTTACAATGTTAAAGCTTACTTCTGGACATCTCAAGAAACAAATGACAAATACGTCACGTAAGCCAATTTGGATTGACATCGGAGGTGGAACTGGTAAATATTATTTAAAAGATCATGAAATTTACACTTATAGTAAATGATAGGCTGTCATGATCATCGGCTGAAGAACATACAAAGGTGTTATCAAATTATCTTTTTTACACAACTGATGCCTTCTTTTCTTCATAGGTTGGAATATTGAAAAGATGAATGATTTCTTCCCAATTGAACAATTTGACAAAGTCTATCTGGTAGATTTATGTGCGCCACTATGTAAAATAGCGGAATCCAGATTCCATGCTAGAGGATGGAATAATGTTTATGTTATTTGTGATGATGCAGCTTCGTTTAAACTCCCAGAAATTGAAAATGATATTGGAAAAATTGATTTGGTAACGATGTCTTATTCTTGTAAGTTCAACTGATCCATACTGATCCATATCAACGTATCTGTATATCCAGAAAAATTCTGCGCAATTGCAATCAGATTTCAAGATCAGACATGAATATCAAATTAAAGCGTAGATTCGGAGCAGACAGAATTTTATTTTGTAGCAATGGTTAAAAAGAAATTTCATGTTCACGTCTGATCTTACAGTTTAATTGATTTCGCGCAGAATTTTTTTTGATCCATATGACTTAAATCCGCCAAGTTAACAGGCTACCACATCTACAATAAAAGTTTGATAATTTATTGTAGACGTGTGTATGAGACGTCTAGGACAATTTTTTTATGTTGACTTCTAGGCTTCAGGATTGATCATCTACTAACCTTACAAACGTATAATAATTTCTTTTTTCTAGTTATATTAACATTACAACCTTATATTTAAATCTACTTTATAGTATCAATGATTGATAAATTCTACCCAGTAATTGATCGAATTAAAAAACTACTATGTCCTGATGGTTTATTCGGAATAGCGGACTTTTATGTTTCTTCTCGTGTGATTAGTGATGATATACAAGTTCAACAAGGAACACTAAGTCGTCATTGCAACTGGTTTACTCGATGGTTTTGGCAAATTTGGTTTGAATTTGACCATATTAACCTACATCCATGTCGTCGTGACTATGTTGAATATCAATTCGATACAATAAAAAGCTTTAACGGACGCAACCATTTCCTAATTCCTTATTTGGTCCAGATTCCTTATTATGTTTGGTTGGGTACTACCAAATCCTCGAATTCTGCCTCCCATGTTAATTTAAATCCTATAGAAACTATTTCATTGGCTTCTTCGGAAAAGTCTTCCAAAATTTCTGCTGGATCCATCTCAAATAAGTCTTCTGCAAATAGCCCAGTTTGGCGTCAACCTTATAACCCTATTTTACCGCGTCACACTCAATTTAATACTTATATTTATGCGTTTACGTGGGAAGATCCACGCGAAGATCTGAAAGTACTTAATTTGAGTGAAGATGATAGTATGCTAGTTATTACTAGTGCTGGAGATAACTTATTAGAATACGCTTTAAGAGCAAATCCCAAACGGATACACTGTGTAGATCTTAACCCATGTCAGGTAAATAATAATTTTAACGAAATTGTCGGAACTACAAACGATGCTTTGCACATTTCTTGATGCAAGACAACGTTTAAAATGCGTGTCAGGTTTATATATGAGTGACAAAATTTGGCGAAATGACTGGTTTCGTTAATCATTTTATTATATAATTTCGTCAATTTCGTCATTGCAAAAAAATTTCGTCGCCCATCTATAGTCAGATTAAACAATTATGTTCCGCAGGAAATATCAAATTATAAAAAAAATTAAGGATTGGGATCCGCCAAAAAATTTCTATTTGGATAGAAAATTTCTTATTGCAGGTTTGGATGATGATTTGCATTAAACCATTTTTTTATATAAGGGAGTTGATACAGATCTACATTTAATTAGGATTAGACACTATTTTAGGCAGTGATCTGAATCTGATGTGGGTTTACCTTTTCGTATAATTATAATATGGCTTAACCTGATGACGCACAAGTTCAATTTATAGACTCTGTTCTTTCTGATTGCATTAATGTTAATCCAAGCTTTTATTTTGATATTTCATTTCACAGAACCATTTACTTGAACTGAAACTTGCGGGTATCAGTGCATTAAACTATAAAGACTTTTGGAGTTTATTCGGAAAAGGTACCTTTTGAAGAATGATTAGTCATCGTTTTACTAATATATTATAAAATCAATTAGTTAAATTAGTTAAATTAGTTAAATAGTTAAATCAATAATTTTTTATGTATCAATTAATTGATTATATAATATTCTTAGTCAAAAAAAAAGTCAGTTGATTAATCTATGACTTATATTCTTTTAGGTAAACACAAGCAATTTGAACACTTGCTTGATACACAACTTTCTCCGTACCTAAGTTCACATGCCTACCAATTCTGGAAAAACCATTCCAAAACATTTCAGAAAAACTTTTTCCGTACGGGTTCCTCGGGTATCGCTTTGCGACTCCTACATTTAATCATAACTTTAAAGGGTCTTTCACGTGATGTGGCATCGCTTTGTCATGCAAGATCAATAAAAGAACAAAAAAAGATCTATGACGACAAAATCCGACCTGCAATCTTACACTCCTGGTTAATAAAAATGCTTAATAATCCTGTTTTCTTATGGAAAGCTTTGGGTGTTCCAATTCGCCAATGGAAAATGCTTCTTAGTGAAGGCACGGCATATCAATATATATGTGATACTTTCGATGGTGTAGTTTCTAACTACAAACTTGCAAATGATGGATATTTTTATTTCCTTTGCTTTATGTTACACTATAGTTTTGAATCATGTCCATCATATTTAACGCAGTCCGGTTTTGATAAGTTAAAGAGTGGTGCTTTAGATAGTATTAGAATTCATACTAATTATATTGTTGATGCTTTGAAAGGATTAAAAGAGGGGGAGTTGACAAGAGCTGTCTTAATGGATCACATAGATTGGTTTTCAGAAAGTGAGGCGGAGGAAGAGATTAAACAAATAGCAAGGGCTGTTAGGAAAGGTGGTCAAGTGTTTTGGAGATCAAGTGCTAGGCATCCGTGGTATAATAAGGTTTTCGTCAAGCATGGCTTTGCTGTTGAGCCGATTTGTATCCGAGAACCTGGGTCTGGTGTGCCCCTTGACAGAGTCAACATGTATGCCAGCTTTTACCGTGCGACTAGGATTTAGTTGTTTCTACAGTCCCATAGTGCTGGACTCCACCGGAGCGACTGTAGAATTCTGAAATCCCGGTGACATCGCTTCAATGGATGTGGCGTCGGCGCAGGGACACTGAAGGTGGTGAGTCGATGGTGTGAGATATTTGATGTACATATAATTAAATAAATTTTATAATCTTATTGTAAAAATAATTAAAGTTTTATGCAAAAAAGTTGTCAATATATATCGAATAGAGATGGGCATCTCGCACTTATTGGTGACGTGTGCTTAATCGTAACATATTATAACTTATGTAAACATTGACTATTTGGTGTTGTTTTCATCATATTAATCATGATAAGTGCGAGATCGCACATTTCTAATACGTATTGAATCTATGCTCGGTTTGCTATCACGTGATGATAAATGAACTTACAGAGTACATTTATTTGCGCAATAGATTACCGTTACATAACTGATGAGATTCGATTGTCCGGGCATTTTGTTGGTGAATTATGTAAATCATTTTGATGATTCAGTTCAGTTTTCATAGACAGAAGTTCGTCTGATTGGCTAATGTAAATCAATTGCCCGGGTAACTTATTTATATGCTTTAAAGTACT